GGGGCACCACTCAATTTACGGTTTTGGGTAGTCACCTTAAAATCCAAAAACAAAACGTTTTTGGTAAATTTCTGGCTCTTTTCGTAAATATTTTCGATGCACATATCATCAAGGATCATCGGAATGATAGAGACATAAATATAATACCATCCCCGAGTAAAACTTTAAAACTTAAAGTTAGCAGTTTTATAGATGGAAATTTAACGCATTTTTCTTTGAAAACTAGAAAACATATGATTCAAAAACAGTACTTGACATTTGAGAGGACAAAATATATTATTGCGATACTGCATGCAAATTTTGTTGGGCAAATTCCAATTAATTTTGTCAAAAACTCAAAAATAAAAACATCATTTATACCTTTTTTTATTACGGAAATTTCATATCCGTCAATCAGCTCCATCATTTATTTTTTTCTTCACAATGAATTTGATAGTTTCGATGTGATGATGTACATTTTCTTGGATAAGTTAATTAATTTGGAGATTTTGAAGTGTGATTTGATTATATATAGTAGTTCTTTCGTGTATTTTCTGTAAATAAGTTATATTTTTGTTAATAGAATTTTGACTTTTTATAAAAGTTAACCAAATCCTTCGGATAAGATGCTTTTCCGGATAATGACTAGTTGTGGAAGTCCTAAAATGTTTACTCATACAAGTCCCAAAAGGAGAAGGCTTGATAGTGTGTGGAAAAAATGCATTGTCAAAGTTCAACCTCAGAGCAACTAATATGCATGCAAGCGGTCTAGAACAAAAGTACTATTGAAGTTTCGCAGAGATTTGGTGTGTGACAAGGTGATGTTACAACTAACTTCTCTTGATCGTCTGCTTTCTTTGGACGAAAGAGTTGTGAATCATTAGTGATGTTATAAGACTTACACCAGAAGGCAAAATTGTAGCGTCTTCAAATTATAACAACAGAAAGCCAAATATGTGATCAATCTGATCCACATGTATCCTCACAACCTGACACTTTTATACGATCTCGCGCTCAGTTTCCTCCTTGTAGTTTGGATATGAAAACATGGTTTTTTTGTGTAAAAGCGAAACTTTTAAAAAGTACAGAAAACAACACAAAATTGAGTCGCCTGAACGTTTTGACAGTCTTTTGAGGTGTGCTTATGTGAGTAATCATATATCCATGGTAAAGATAATCGCGAGTACAGATTTATTTTCGAATGCAGTCTACCTTTCAGCATGCATTACCAAGTACTTATTGAAGTCAACACCTGTGCAATCAGGTATAACAGTTACTGAAGAATTAGAATATGAACTTGCTTTCAATTCATTGATAACGATTGTTAATGATGATATTATGTTCATCCAGAAAAAAGGCCTTTCTCCTGTAGCACATCCTCGACATATACCGATTACTTTTACCCAAGAATGTCTCTGATGCTTACCCAACTGCCAAACTCAAGAAAAACTAATAAGTAACTAGTTATTATGACACCTTACAATTCAGACACAGCGGGGACAAGGAATTTCAAATATATAGTTTAGCTCTGAGCTCACTATAGGGGATGCCATATCTGCTGCAGAAAAAAATGAAGTTTATCTTAAGACTTCAAGAATTACACCAAGATGTGTCTGTAGATATCAAAGATACATTAAAAGAGGAACAATTACTTCACTCTGCCGCTAGCTCTCTAAGGAGCTCTGTCCTAGTCGGGTCCTTCCATGGAAAAGATGCCCGCATGTATGGATATTACAAAATCAATCGTTTTTGTAGCAAAATCAACATTCGCCTCATTACATTTGGGATTGACCGTGCAGTTATATAATGAATATGGGAATATGGGTCACAAACATTGATAGAAACTTTGTCCTTTTGTGTTTCCTATGCAGAGGTAAGACTATACCTGACAAGCATTGCCATGCATGAGTTTGACCGAATCAAGACGGTATTTACGCTCTAAATGGCATTGTTTCAAAACACCAAGGGGAGTGTTTGATACCAATGGATGCTGACAATATAGGCCTCAACACGGAGTCAATTGATAGTAAGGAACGTTTCATTCCATGGCACGAGCAAACTTTCAGGTTTGTCATTCCACAATTGATTCCAGTTTGCGTCAGAAAGTGAAGAGAGGTCAAGATAACACTTTTCAACTGACTGACAGTGCATCATCGTTGGCGACTGTTTCATTATACCAAAGGTAAGAGAGGTCCTGTTCGCGTTCCGAATGCTTTCAAAAACATTTCAAATTGTGCTGAAAAAATTGAAAACACATCAGAGATTCCATTGGAAATTTTGTGGTCCATGTCAAAATATATCGGAAATTTTCATGTTTAGTCGGAAACGTTTGACCAGCAATTTATTCCATTTTAGACCGGATATAGCAACTCTTTCTGAACTCAGGGTTAGATTTTTGGCCTGGAAGACAAAACAGGATAAACCCCAACATTTTTCAAGGGATACATGACATCAGATTACTTACAAGATTATCTTTGTACTTGCAAAGGTAAATCTTTGTGCTCAAAAGCTGTGTTTGCTTTGAACAAACTCTGTCCTGCACCGAACATGTTTGTGTCAAGAAAGGGAAGTATGTTATAATGCTAATACGCGTACTGAATCCGCATACGATGACGAAGATATTGATTCATATCCCTATTTAATGAAGACTAGAGCTATTGCATGTAGCTTTAAAAAGACAAGTTATATAAGGGTCTTGACAGATTTTAAATTACAACATTAGCAAATTGGCATTACATTGTATTTTCCATTACTTCCATAAAAAATTGATGAGTCTACATGTTTTTACCAGGATAATCCCACTAAGATGTTCATGCACCAAACCGAGTTTGTTTAACCAACCGCTAAATTAATGCAAGTCACACTTATGATTTTTTTAAAACCTCGCATTTGCCTCGGTTGACTATGATATTTTTGGTGTTATAACTGATATGTCCGGACTTTGCAAATACACAATAATTATTTATGTATAAATAGATACTAATTTTCCCAAATTTACACAACCTTTTAGATGCAAAATTAAAAACACTGTTTCATCGCTTGAATTTTGTTTTTTTCAAAGATAGAAAAAATATTGAAATAATTTGATAAACTGTTGTTTTATAGTTCAGAAAATAATTCTTTAATATACTGTAGTGAAAAATTATAAGCAGTATGAAAGTTAATGGATGTGAAAAGGTCAAGGCCACTTCTACTTTTGCTATGTCAGAAATGGAAAAAAATCAGAAGGATCCAGATCAACGCCATTTTGTAATGGCAGCTCTTCAAATAAATAGTCAAATTTGTCGTTTTAACATACTTCGCAGCATATGCTTATGATTGAACCGTTTTTGTAGCATTCTAATGAATAAGTATAAGAAAATTTCTCATTTTTGTCCTTGTGGTTGAAATATTGATATTTTTAGGCCTGACCTTTGACCCAAATTTCACAAAAATGTGACCACTCTGGATTTTTACGACCAAACTTTTCTTATTGTACACTTTTTCCTCTTTCCATCGATATATAATTTAGGTGTGTGTTCTTCCGGAACATAAAAGTTTTTAAAAATGAACTCTGGTTGCAGTACTATATGATGTTGGCGTCGTCGTCGTCGCCGTCTTTGTAGTCTGAAGACACATTGGTTTTCGCACTCTAACTTTAGTTTAAGTGAATGGATCTCTATGAAATTTTACCATAAGGTTCAATACCACAAAAGGAAGGTTGGGATTGATTTTGGGGGTTATGGTACCAACAGTTAAGGAATTAGGGGCCAAAAATTAGCATTTTTGTAACTTCCAGACATAACGTGTGTGTTAGTGTATGGATCTCTCTGACATTGTACCACAGGGTTCCATATCACAAAGGGAATGCTGGGATTGAATTTGGGGGTAATTGCCTCAAAATTTTAGGAATTAGGTGCCAAAAAAGGCAAAAAACAAGCATTTTTCTAGTTTCATGACAATAACTTGTGTATAAGTGTATGGATCTTTCTGAAATTGTACTACAAGGTTCCATATCACAAAGGGAAAGCTGGAATTGAGTTTGGGGGTAATTGCCCAAAACGTTTAGGAATTAGGGGCCAAAAATTAGCATTTTTCTAGTTTCCAGACAATAACTTGTGTTCAAGTGTATGGATCTCTCTGAAATTGTACTGCAAGGTACCATACCACAAAGGGAAGGCTGGGATTGATTTTGGGGGTAATTGCTTCAAACTTTTAGGAATTAGGGGCCAAAAAGGGGCAAAAAACAAGCATTTTTCTAGTTTCAGGACAATAACTTGTGTGTAAGTGTATGGATCTTTATGAAATTGTACTACAAGGTTCCATATTACAAAGGGAAAGCTGGGTTTGAGTTTGGGGGTAATTGCCCAAAATGTTTAGGAATTTGGGGCCAAAATAAAAGAAATTTTTCTAGTTTCCAGACAATAACTTGTGTTCAAGTGTATGGATCTCTCTGAAATTGTACTGCAAGGTACCATACCACAAAGGGAAGGCTGGGATTGAGTTAGGGGGTGATGAATCATAAGGAGGTTCAAAAAATTTGGGGGGGGGATTTTTTTTCCCCTTTTTTCCCTTTTTATTTCTTTAAAATTTTCCATTTTAAATTGGTTATTTCTGATTTATATATAAAAGCAAATAATAATGATATGGTTTGAATAGGTAAATTAAAAAAAATTAAGTTCTTAGACCACAGTCATTCTGTGTCAGAAACCTATGCTGTGTCAAATATTTAATCACTGTATCAAGCTTGAATGTTGTGTCCATACATGCCCCAACTGTTCAGGGTTCGACCTCTGCGGTCGTATCAAGCTGCGCCCAGCGGAGCATTTTATTATATTAGTGATCAAGGATGACTCAAGTGGGTATATTGATTGGTAATCTGATTTTCTGATTCCTGTTTGTCAACTTTGCAAATACCATTTCAACTAACTTGTTTTTGAATTGTCTTAGAAACAAGATACAATGAACTGTTGACACTGAAATCGGACAGATGTAAGATATAGGGAATGGGAATAAGCCTATTGTTATGGGGTCATGGTCAATTCATAAAAAAAATGTTTAATAAAAGTTGGTTTAAGAATGGTATCACACAATGATTTACAACACGTTTAAACATAAACTAGACATTAAACTAACAACACAGTTAAAATGTACATCTATATACTTGTCTACATTACCTCTCACATTCAAACTTCACACAGAATATCATACTTAGCAATGCTTAGCAATATAAGGATATGTGATGTGGACATTAATTAAGCAGTAACCCAACAACACTATTAAAATCATACATCTACACACATGTTTACATTACCTCTCACATTAAAACTTCACACCAAATATCACCACTTAGGAATATTAGGATATGTGATGTGGACATTAATTAGACAGTAAACCAACAACACAATACAAACATACATTTGTCTACAGTATCTCTCACATTCACAACTTCATACTAAATATTTCCACTTGTTATATGTATATTATCTTCACAGTGTCATAGGAAAGCATTTAATTTGTCATGGTTTATGTTATCCACAAGATAAATTGAATTTTACTAAGAAGCTACTCTGGAAATCACAAATAAAACCTGAAGACTCATTATTTTTAAAACAAACACACCTCGGTAATATCAATCCATTCTCTCGACTCATCAGTACTTTACTATTCTGTCCATCTTTTGATATTACTATTATTCTGTTAGATTTACAGTCTGCTACAATAATGTTACCATGCCTATCTGTACAAAGTCCTGTCGGTCCTTGTAAATCCTGTTTATATTGCCAGATCTGTTTACCTGATCCATCCACACAGTATACTGCTTTACCATGATAGTCACTATAGATAACTCTGTCATTACAGTAAACAAGGTACTCCAGGTCTGATTTACTCTCAACTTTTATTGACTTCAGTGTATTTCCTTCCAAGTCTAAAATACGGATTTCATCTTCATTCAAACCTACAGCCAGAGAATTATTGTAGAATGATAAACCCCAGCATGGTTTGTTTAACGTGATAACTTTGGTAACTGTTTCATTCTCCATATTGAAGATCTTAATGGCTCTCTCACCAGGATAAGTTATGGCTATAGTGTTCTGATTGATCTGTGTAACACTGTAGGCTATACCAGGTATAGGTAGTTGTTTCTGTAGTTTGCCATCAGAAGTAAGTAGGTTAACTTTACCCCAGTGTTCCATAACTATAACTCTTCCATCCACCAGACAAATCATGTCTCTTATCACCTCCTTTATGTTGATCTCTATCTTTGTCTCAATATTCATGGTCATGTTGTTTATGTTTGTTTGTTCTCGTGATTTTACTTGTGCTTCCCTCTTCACACTTGTTTCTCTATTCATGACTACATCTGTCTTAACAACCATTACTTCTCCTAGTGATTCTAATGATTCTAATTTGCTTAGTATCTTTTCTATTTCATCATTTTGTTCCATTTTGATGTCAACTTCTTTGAAGCTCTCATCAATTTCCAGATCGTCAACATATCTTTGACATTGGTGTATTTTTTGTTCAATCTGATGTACACCAAGAAATGATTGTAGTTTAGAACTATGTGTTGTGACTGTTTGTAAATGTTCTTTCATTTTCTTCAAGCTTTTAGTTTTCCTGTCAATTTCAGAAATGAAATCAGTTGCATTTGATTTTTCCTGATTCCAAATACTATCTATTTCTTTGCATAACTTCTTCTCCAGGTGGTCTAAATGTTTATTTATTTCCTTTCTAATTTCTGTTATTGATTTCTTTATGCTTACACATTGATTTTCTCCCGTTTTGATGTTTTCTGATTTGTTGCTTATTAATTTGTTCAAAACATTTATGAGAGAACTTATGTCTGTCTCTACAGTTTCCTTTGATTTTGCAATTTTGGTTTTCTCTACGACACCTGCCAAACTTTTTATTCCCGTACATTTTGAATGACTGGTTGAAATACATTCATCACAGCAAGGCATTAAATGACTGGGACAGTACAAGTTGAGTCGTTGACTATGTTTGTTACATTCTGTTTTAATGGCTTGGATGGATGGTTTATAACTTTTAATATCAATTGTCTTATGATCACATGTTGCTTTGAATCTTTTGTGATGACTTAAACATGTTGAGCATAATCCTTCATCACAGTTGTAACACCAGACGTCAGCTTTCGTGTTTACTTCTCCTTTATGGCAAGGTCCACATAGTAAAGGTTTATTGGATGACATGACCTAAACATGTACAAATAAAAATGTTATTTAACTTAGCTTCATGAAATCTTGAAGTGTTGATACATCAAAAGTATAACCAAATCTGAAGAAGGAATAGGAGCTTTGCATCAGGTAAATAGATGTACATTCCTTTATTGAAAAATGATTCCTTTTTTTTCCCAATATTTTTTAAACACGAAATTGTATTAAAATGAGTAGGTTCGACAAGGACCTAAAATGGCCCCTTTTTTAGATTAAATTTCAAATCGGGATTTATTGACAATATCACAATGAATCATAGCTAATACAGTTACTAGATCTATAGGAAAAAAGCCTTCTGTTGAAAATTCACGTACCTGCGTTTTATTCATGACGTCACAAGTAGTACTCATTTTGTTTATATTTCCACAATGAAAATCAATGAAAATGGGTAAAATTCCATTGATTATTGGACAGGAATCATAGAGAGCATACGTCAACAAAAAAGATCTTTTAAAGTAATGTTTGTAAAGACCTTTCACATGTCTAACTTGAATATTTAGTTTGTCGACACCTGCACTCTATGTTTCCTGGTCCTAAATTTGGTTGAAATTTGGCCTATTTTGTCAAAATTCGCCAAAATCTCTTATCTTGACCTATTTTGGATGTACAAATCAATACTTTCGAAATAAATCTTGGACACAAAAAGTTCTATTTAACTTTCTCACATGTCTTTAAACAACTGAAAACATTTTTCATCTTGTAACATTGAACTTTATAATTGGGGCCAATTATGGCCCTTACTGAACTTACTCCTTTAAGGTCAATTTCCTCTGTATTTGTTTCACTAACAGGTTTAAAATATAAAAATTATAAAACTTGAGATTGTTCAAAAGTTTTTGAGGGAATGCTCACGAAAACATCATGGTCGGCACTCAAAATAGGGTTGTTCAGGCAAAGCTTAAAACATATCATGATCTTTTTTTCTTTTTTTGGCTTTACTGTATTTGATCAACAGAATCAATAAAGATAAGTATTTAACAATTTAAAAAAAAAAGTTGATATTCAGGGCCTTAAGTTTTTTGACACAGTTCAACCAGGTCTATATTTTAGCCTATGAACTCTTATTTGTCGATATTTATGTCTTTAATGTGATAACATATAAAAGTGATTACACATGTCTGTTGTTATTGTCCTCTTGAAGTCCAGATTGTATTTGAAGTTAGGTTTGCCATCTTCTTATACTCATATTCAAATATATATAAAAAATAAACTAAAAGATACATAAAACCAAATACAATCCATGTTTTACATTGTCAAAAAAGATATTGTTTTTTCAACCATATAGTTTACCTCTTTGATTTAGGGAATTGTCACATCATCTGTATTTTGTGTCTATCCCTTTTTTTTTTCTAAAATGTCAGTTACAAGGAAGTAAATTAGAACAGGTTTATACACGTCTCCATAATCAGTATGCATATTTAAAGGTCACACCTATATATAGATCGATCATACCTGTTCTACTTAACAGATAACATTTAAATGACACAAACATGAATATGATATAATAATAATTAATTTTCCTCTAAAGATAAATCTAAAACTTTTTTGTATAGAAATTTTTTCAAATATTTTTTTATTAAAGTGAAATATTTTTATTTTTTTGCTTTTATACTATAACAGATATGTCAAATTGTGCACTGCTAAAAGATCAACAATACAAGATCAACACAAATAACATAAGTGGTTGCATTACAGGTAAACAAAAATATCAAAATGTCATTTCTTCACCAGGTGAGTGATTCAGGCTCTTTGGAGCCGCTTGTTATTTTTTTTTATAATAAAACAAACTACATATTTATGTTGAGATAATTTTACAGCTGTTTTAATTTCTTGCATTTGTTGAAGAAAATTATTATTTCACTAAACTTATTTATTTTTTTATTTTTTTGAAAATAGGAAATCATAGAAACCCAATCCACGGTAACAGTCACAGTAATAGATACAAATGACAACAACCCAGAATTCCAGAATGTACCTTATTCAGCACAAATTCCTGAGGTAAGGTTTGAATTATATTGTATTGGCCAAACAATGTTTAAGAATGGAGTTATTTATAGCTGCAGTCCTGAATTGACAGCTAGAAGACAGCTAGAGTAAATCTTTTCCTGATTAAGACTGACATTATATGGTGGAAAAGAAAACAAATTCTTTGGAGCAAGATAATGAATATCCTACATTTCTATGTCTTTATATCATTTAACAACCATTAGGAATATATAAAGATGTGGGGAACATTTCAAAGAGAACAAAACCAGACAACACAAGTTAACTAAAATAGACATCCAAAGGGTTTTTGATAGGAATTAACTATTTACATAGCCTAAAAATTTGTTACCTCAACTGAATTTGAATTTTCAAGCAAACATTTAGATTTTCTATTCCTTTAAATTCAAAAGTTGGTCGATTAAATAATCAACTAAACAGTGAACAATCTCAAGTTTTTATATGAAAAAAAGAGATATGGGGTATATGTCAATGAGACAGCAAACTATTGAAAGTACTGTCTAGTTAAAGCCTTGGCAATTAAAATATCACTGCTACCTTGTGATGTTAAACAAAGAAGCTTTGGTATAATTCCAATGAAACAACTACCCACCATAGTCCAAATGACTGAGAAGGTTAGTAACTATAGGTCACCATACGGCCTTCAATAATGAGCAAAACCCATATAGCATAGCAAGCTATAAAAGGATGACATGATTAAATATGAGAAAACATGAAATTCAAATGAGTAATTAATACTAGAATAATAAAAGAGAAATAAATGTGATAGACAGCAATCAACAACAACCACTGACATGGGACAGACACATAGAAAATGTGGAAGAGTTAAACACTGTTTGTGAACAACAATACCATAAAGATTAGAATGTGATATTCCTTTGTAATAAGACTTCTACAAGTACGGCCAAATTTCCAAACCAAATCCTTGTATCTATGAAAGTTTGTTTTTTTCTATGCCTCGGTATACTTATTTGAGGAAAAATATTAAATGGACAAAATGGCGTATAGTTTAATGGCTGAGTAGGACAGCCATTCTGATCAAGACTAAGTTTAGTAGATACACAGTTCTATATAATCCATTTGTCACTTTATTTTTGCACTTGCTCATCTTGATCATATTTTTTTACCATGCAAGATATCTTTCAGAATTCCAGTTGCTGTCTATTTTAACAAATACCCAATCCCTCCTTTTTTGCTTGTCATCATTTCAACTGATTGATTAAAGTACAATGCTGTAAGAAACATTGTGGTGTATAATAGATTAGATATGCAGGAAATTTATTTGATACAATATATTAAGGGCACAACTAATGGGAACACACACTAAACATTCTGCAAAAAATATGCAGTTACCTTATTTGATCCAATCTATTTAGGTCACAGGTGTTGCAAATATTGTGTTGTACTAAAGATATGCAGTAACCTAATTTGATCAAATTTATTTAGGATACAGCTGTTGGGAACACAGTGTTCAGTGGAATTAGGATATTAGATAGTGATATCGGTATCCATGCTGAGGTTGAATTAACATGTTTTGTTGATCCTACCGATAGTCAGGTATGTATATGTTCCACATGGAAATTATTTTGTTCAAAGGTAAAAGATTCATGAATTGTATACCAAATATGATAAGTAGAACTACCATTAAAATTTTATCAGTTTTTGAGCTCGTCTTGTTACAACTATTGGTTTGTATAAAACATGCAGACTGACCGGGTAATCACTGTCAAATAGAAAGGCTGTCATTTTCTCTGATTTTCTCCAGAGACACTTAGGGTGTTGGGTTTCAAAATTATATTTTATGCATCTACAGATTAACTTACAAAACCAACATGGCTGTTGTTGTTAAAAATAAATAGTACATAGGGGTAAAAACCCTAAAAATTGATTTAAAAGTCTTACATGGTATTGATATATCACTTGTGATTCCTCTCAAGAAAAGTGATTAACAATTCAATCATTCCCAGACAAGGCTGTCAACATTACTTAAACGGATATAACAGAAATTCAATGAAATTTTTATCCTGGTGGTCCTTGAAGAAAATCTGTTGGTCCCCACTATTATTTCTATTACAAAATACCAAAACTTGTCAGACAAAACCTTGGACTACCACTTTTCGAGAACTCTGAAGATATCTCAATGATTTTCTTCAAAAAAAAAGGATTAAGGACTGAAACTGTCATTAAATACTTTGCATTCATTATTTAATAGTAAAATTTAATGTAGTTATTTATTAAAGCATTCTGAATAACCAAAGGATATAGGATTAGGAAGGTAACTTAAATAGAAAACCAAAGGCTATTGGATAAGGTAAATTAAATAATACAAAAACAAAGGATATGGGATATCTATCCATAACACAAAACCAGTACATGCACAGCAAAAAAACACAAAAAGTCTATAAACTTTGCCTATAAACTTTGAATGTCTGCTTTTTGTTTTAATTTGCCTATAAATATGAATGTCTGTCTGTTATTTAGATCTCATTATATTTCAGACTGTGGAAGCTTGTGAGTACTTTAATTTGACAACCCAGCAGCTTGGACAAGGTTTATATAGTGGAGCAGTCATTTTGAAGAAACCATTGGATTATGAATTCAGAAAGGGGTTCACAATGACTATACAAGCTAAAGTAAGTGGTCAAGACAAGGTTATCTTTAAAAAAAAAATTCTGTAAAATAACAAATATTTTGCACAGTTCTCTGGCTTCCATCATATTTAATCATTCAATTAACATTTTAAAAGGTTCATACACATTTCACAAACTTATAGATCTTGAATTCTTGTCTTAGCGAACTAATTGACTTTTATTTTGTTGATTCTTGTTATCAACTTTTCTGGTATAATATACATTAAATGGTATTACAGATAATGTTTCTTTTACCTTAATTATTGTCCACACAGCTACATCCAATCTAAACATCTGAATCTTTTTATTTTTTTACAGGACAATTATAAACAGATAGGAGGGGCTCCATCTTTGATGACAACTGTCAATGTTTTGTTGGAGATAGAAGATCAACAGGACACGCCCCCTCTCTTTATGGAAACACCCATTACAATATTTGTAATAGAAAATCTAAGTGTTGTAAGTATATTTTGCTTAAAAATTGAGTTTTTTAAATGCTCTGTTGAAGATATTCCATTTACTCCCAAGATTTAGAACTGCAATAAAACTATTTTTCTGAGTAAAACATGGGATCATGTTTATTTTCATCCTTTCATATTCCTCTGTTTTTTAATGTACATCTTTCTTTGAAATGATTTTCATGTATATTTTTTCAGTATCCTGACTTTAAATTTTTTACTCTAATTAGGAAAGCTATATGAAGGATTCTACTGAGGAACAACTAGATATTTCAAAATAAGATTATTCTCCAAAGGGATATGATTCTAAACTTTTTATCCTGAGGTAGAAATGTGAAAAAATGAAACTAAAAAGGGTGTAAGAATTACATGACATGTCTGTTTTTCAGGGTACACCTGTTGCAACTGTGACTGCTAAAGATGGAGATGAAGGATCTCCTAGACCAATCAAAATCGTTAACAAAGGTAAACTTATGAATGTTCATAATAATAGATAGATATATTTGAAATATTTTGATAAACAGTTCATTTTAGAAATTCAATTTCAAGTTCAATTACTGGACTTAAAAAAAAACAACGTATAATTAAACACTTAGACCGTGTGATTTTTATGTGTGTTTTAGTGAGAAGTGTTAGTGTGTAATAATCATGTAATGACTTAGATTTATTTGTTTGTTTCAACCTGATTTTTTTATCGGCATATATGCATTATAATAGAAGTCAAAAATGGAAAAAAAATATCAAGGACAATTAGTAAATGTCAGTTACGACATACCATCTGTTCCAGACCATCTAAAAATTAATTACATGGGTATGAGTGACCTATGACAACTGATCATATCTCTTTCATTAACACATTTATTTTAATTTAAATGGTTAAAATTATATTAATTAGGGAATTAGTTTTCAAGGAATATTTACCAACATTCATTGAAGTTAAGACGGTTTAATTAAATGTTCTATTCATCACCCATCCAGTTGTTTATCTTTTCACACTTTGCATCCCATTTATTTCATTCGTACTTTCAGAATGTAAAATAACTAATGAAATTCCTGTTTAATTTTCATGATAATTAGTGTAAATTCAGAAATTATTGCAATGTTTTTATCATTGCGTAAAATGTGTCAGTATCAGGATCACAATATTAAAAACTTAAGCATTCATTATTTCACTGTAGTGATTTTCCTTCCTGCATTGGTATTAATTAGATTTCAAAATTTTGTCAGAGGTCAAGGATTTGCAATAATAAATGCAGCTTTAATTTCTGAATTTACAGTATATTATTTTGACAAGTTCAAATAACTGGTGTGTG